AGAAATAACTTAAATCATATTATTTTACTAGGTCTTCAAATCCATTCAGTTTAGTCCAATCAGCTGCCTGTAGTACCTTTAAATGTCCAGCAGGTGTCAGTATTCTGTTAGACAGTTTTAACGCAGAATCAATACAGTTTGGCAATAAATGCTTTAAGAAGCTTCATTAACCATCACTAGTTCTAACTTAGAAGACAAATAAAGTGCATGCAGCGTGCAGGTGACCCCTTCAAACAGGAAGCATCAACTTTTCTTTCTAACATGTTTCATTTCTCCTCCATCTTCTCTGGAAGTGAATCAAATCAAGCTGCTCAGTCTGTTGAATAGAAACCAGGTTTTACCCATTTAACAGGTCCGGCATCGCCTTTCCTTCCATGCTGAGGTGTACAGGAAGACTTCCGTGGATTGCAGCACGCAGAACCCACGGAGCGAGGCAGAAATCTCCCGCGTTACTGCGGGTGAACCAAGCCCGGAGCGTTGTCTGACAGGCTGAGCAGTGAATTCAGTTCTGCCACCAGAACTGTCCTGAATGATGATGGAAGGAGAAGACAGGCTGGATCAGAGAGCACTCACTAATGGATGCTTCTAGAAAACCGGCTCCTCACTTCTAGGAACTGTTTGGACCAGCCTGGCAGACCTGCTCAGGGGGGCAAAAACACCAACACCAACCGTTTCCCTCTACCGCCCCCTGCTGGACACAATCCACCAACACTCCACAGTTTCCCTAAAACAGTCAGCCCTGCAGGGTTTGGAGGTTTCCTGCTTGAGCAGTGGCGCTACCGGGGGGTGACCAGGGGTGTCCCCAGTCACCCTGTGCAATGCCCCGCCCACCCCACTGCCCAACCCACCCACCAGGGTAAAGTGTAGTAGCATCAGTTTAGCATTTCATCCCTTTATGCACAGCCACCAGTGGTGTCAAAAGTTCACACATTTGTTACTTAAGTAGAAGTATAGATACTGCAGTTTAAAAACACTCTGGTAAAAGTTGAATTATCAACTTGACCGCTTTACTCAAGTAAAAGTGAAAAAGTATGTGCTCCAAATAATACTTAAAGTATAAAAGTATAAAGTAACCTTTATAAAAAGAGCCAGATGCCGCTATATGAACTGAAAGCTCAATTTTTGACTATTTCTAAAAATTCTCTGAGATAGGGCCAAGGATGAGGGAGGACTTGTTGGTCTCCATCTCCCGATACGCTCTCTCCTGTGTCCGACCTTTCAGACATTTAGACATGTTTTTCTGAATCCATCATTGTAGCATGGCATAGACAATTCACGTTTGCAGTTTGAAGAACACCTGCTTGCTTCTGATGATTTCCTTTAGCTAACCAATGAGTGTTTGCGTTCTATGACTCATCCAATAACACTAGTTTTCACTAGATGTGGATGGAGCCAATGATCTGCATTGGATGGAGCACATGACGGGAAATAAATATTTAGAAACATTAAACCGAATCCAAGAGTAACGGGTAACGAGTTTGATTTAAAAATGTAAGGAATAGAAAGTAGAGATACTTGTGTGAAAATGTAATGAGTAGAAGGAAAAATAATGGAGTAAAGTATAGATACCTAAAAATGGTACATAAGTACAGTAACAAAGTATCTGTACTTTGCTACTTGACACCTCTGACAGCCAGCGATAAAACATTAAAAATCACATAATAAACCAAGATCTGAGCAACTGTTTACTTCTTGGTTCTACCGGCAGGTTTACCACAATAGTAGATTCAAACCCTGAAATTATGGCTTTTGGTTTCAGCGTGCCACCCATGGGCGGTTCTAGACAGGAGTCAATGGGGCCAGTGCCCCTGTAGATTCTGTTATGGTCCCTATACTGAAGACATAATACTCAAAGCAGTTCTAATGATGATCTGCGCCGGAGCAGACATGGTTACTGATATGTACTTTGGATCTATTTCCATTTTTTTCTCCTTTACAAATTCTGTTTTAATATTTTTTCAAAAACAATAAGGTGATAGCTTCAGTGGTGTTGAGATAGGATTCCAGTTTTAATCTACTAAATGTTATTTTTCTAAACAAATAAAAAAAAAATTTACAGCTAAATTCATTTTTTTTGAGTTATAATTCAGATTTTATTTAAAAAAAACTGTAATTTTGACTTACATTAAGTTAAAAATATGTAAAATTTCTAAATTATAGATGTATATTGACCTAATTAGAAATAGGACTTTAATTAAACCTAACTGAATTGAAATTTCACTTTATGCGGTTATCTTGATATATTTGAAACCCTCACCCTGTTTTTTAATTCATGCTTTTCTGTGCCTCCATGAAAACACGCTGGCCCCCTCCTGGCCCTCTGGTACATT